CCACTTTGAGCCTATATATCTCATTTTCTGTGAAAGATATCAAAAAGTGGCTAACTAGTAAAATGTTGCTGATATCCTGATAAACATTTTACTAGTTAACCACTTTTTGATATCTTTCAAAAGAAGTGAGATATATAGGCTCAAAGTGGACGATCCGGGTGTCGTTCTATTAGAGGTTTTACGGTAAATCAAATTTCCATAATTGTTAAAACTTCCAGAATAGTTTTAACAAATTTATGAAACAGAGTTTTTTCGCTATCCGGAAAAGTTTCAAAAAATGAATGACATAACTGAAAAAATTTTTCAGCTTACTTCCTTAATACATAGGTACCTCGTGACACTGATTATGTATTAATTCCCCAAATTTACCGCAAGACCTCGTATAGAGCTGCACTCGCTCTGTCAACTTCTAGTCAACTCGTCAAAGATTTAAAAAAGTCGTCAACTGATAAATTTTTCACCATAATACCACGAACATTTTATCAGTGAACACTTGTTTCTATATCTTCGCAGGAATCTGAAAATTGATTAAAACTTGACAGTGTGAGGGCCCTTCTGTTACAAAATTTTCTTATTTTAACATCCTTGGTTAAAATGATTTTTTTTTAAATTGCCGACTCTGCGATCATCCTATTGCTACATTTTTATCTCCCTGAAAAAATACATTCGAAACAGTAAGAAATTTGCTTTTAAAAACTTTTTCTATATCTCATTTTCCTACAAATCCTAATTGCCGCAGTTCCCCTCTTCAACCATAAAACGCTTCTTCCAACGGTCGTTTTCTCAATAACCCCTTTTGATCTTGAACTGGATTACTGTATTTTTAGGGTCCCTCACTCCTAAATAAGACCTATTTACCTTTTTTAACAAAATGGCGTTTCGGGGTAGGAAAAGAAACTCATAAAAAAAGAGGCAACATTTCATTTCCATTTATTTCTCCAAAAACGACGAACATCCTCATCTTAATTGCCAAAAACTCGTTTCATTTCTCTGTGTTTCTCAATGTCGCATACTCTCTCGACCCTTGTCTAATGAGGCTATAGACCTCCACACTTTTTGGAACACACACACACACACACACGAGATATACAGTAACCCAATGATTTTTCGAATGTCTCATTTAACACCGTATCTCATTTTGTCTCCGTCTTTTTCAAACGTGAGTAACCTTAGCCAGAGGCGGAAATTGAGGAAATTAGGAGAACGGAAGAGCGAAGTGTGTTCAAACGTTTTGAACGATTTTTTGAAATTTGTAAACCTGACGTTGACCTAATTTTAGTCCAATTCAATTCTGANAATGTTCACAGTTTCCAGTGGGACATATAAGTTTTCGTTGATTTTAATTGTCAATAAGAGAGTATAAAAGGTAAATAAAATTCATTTTTTGTTTTCAAAAAACTTCCCAACTGTCATAAATTTTGTGTAATCTTTTCATATTTTTGACGATAAAAATCCGTGATTTTTACAAGCTAATCTGATTTGTTTTTCAATTTTTAATATAGTCTACAACATCTAATGGGAATGATAAACCAAGCAGATGTGTCTTTAAATGAAAATGCGAAACAGTAACGATCACATTTTTTTCATAATTTTGCAGTTTTAAAATGATGTCAAGTTAGGAATTTTATAATTTGAAAAATAGTATTGCTCGAATTATCGAAAGTTTCTTTTCAAATTTGGAACATTTCAAAGCTTCAAGATCAATAGTTGCATTTGAGTTGGATCGAGTAGTCGGTCACAATTGAGCATCAGTCATTCAGCATTTACCGAGTCAGTTGAATTTTCTCACTCCATCACTCAAAATTCTGAAGCGAACATTTTTAAAATCGAGCAGATGTATTGAAATCGAGTTAAAATTTCTCGGAGCGTGAAGATTCCGACGATTCCCGAATTTCCATTTTCTGTACTAAAAACCGATAAAAATTCTATCAATTCTCGTCAGTAATTGAGACTATTTTTTTGAAAAAATGTGCAGTGTTAAAAATGAATCTTACAAATTTCATAGAAGCTATGAAAAGGTACACTAAGTTCCTATGGCTAATACAATATTTTTATTTGGAGCTATAACCTGTTGAGCATTTCGAAAAATGCTTTCGTTCTTGCTTTGACTACCGACAGACATCTCTAGCGTTTTATATATAAGAAAGATATTTTTATAAAATTTCATGTTTTAAACGAAGGATTACTAAAGACAAAAATAGTCAGTGTTTTCCAAAAGTCGTTGAAACAGTTTTTAAGTTTTTGAGTCGGTCGGTCTCCGAGTTTAACAATGAAATAATTCAAGGTCACAGAAGAGCATATAATTTTCATGATTCCATAAGTGTACTATTTTTTTCGAATGACATTGATAGACTTTTCGAAAAAGTGCACAAACTTAGGACATTCATTGAGTAACTGTCATTGCTAACTTCCCGGTAACATATGAGAAAAAAGATAAGGAAAGTTTTACTGCTTCGGATTAGTATCAACTTTACAGATTGGTTTCAGCGCCAGTATAGATTTGGTTTCCCTTCTTAATAACCCCAAATCTTTCTGTTTCAAAACATTTAGAAGTATTTTCCGAATTTTTCCATCCCTGATCAATTTTGTCTTCGGTTTCCCCTAGTTTCCGCTAGTTTTGCTCTCTGTATTCCATTCAGTTTGTTCCCTGTGAAAACATGCGATTCGTTCGAAGATTGATGAGTTTTTGTCTGGTTCTTCGCGCACATTTAACTGAAATAGCGTGAGGAAATGAGAAGTTTAGAGAAAAATTAGGTACAGGAAAAGGTGACATGTTGCAAAATATGTGTGAAAGGGGTTTAGATGAGCACCCCAATGATTTTATAGGGGTGAGCAGTAAATGAGGGAAAGAGGGAAGAAAGGAAGATTTTGTAACATACTACAGTATTCCAGCCTAAAAATAACATGAAGATTTCGGCAAGTGGATCGAATCATTTTGTGAAAACCTGAAAACCTTTAACCATATTTTTGAAACGGAAAAAAGTCTATCAATTTATAAAGTTTTTTAAAGTACTATTAACAAAGAAAATGTCTTTGGAAGGATTCCTAAACCCTCGAAATTTTGTCCGAAATCAAACAAATGAAAACAATTTTTCAGTTTCATCAAGCCTTGATAAAACTTGTGAATCTTTGATTATCTAATAGTTTGTCTGATGGAGTCAATGAGTTATAAACAGTTTTTAGCGCCAGAAAAAATTGTGAAAGCTAGAAAATTTGAAAAACGATAGATTTCCCACCAAACCTAAAAATCGCGGGACCAATCAAAGAGGTGTTTGCTATAATTGAAGCCAACACTTGAACTTCCAGCTCGATTATCTCGATTCCTGTGAAAGATATCAAAATATTGTCAACTGATAAATTAATTATCATGGTATCACCAATATTTTATCAGTTGGCAGGTTTTTGATATCTCTCATAGAAACCGAGTTAATTGATCTTAAATTGATCGCTTCTAACAGAGCAAATACGGTAGGTGGGAAATCCGTCACTTTTCGGATCTCATAAAACTTTTTCGGTCTTTGAAACTTGTTTTGAATATCCTACATTAATATTTTCAAAAGTAGTGATTCAGTGAATATCCAACTGTTTCTCCCCACATTTTTTCAGTTTTCTGAAACTATGAAAAAGTTTATCCACACTTTCTTAATCCCTCTCTCCGTTAACCTTCATGCTAATTACCTAACAACCGTACCTAACTCCCCCTTATAATAAATCCTTGTTTCTTCCGGATGATCCTCTTCTTCTCCCCTCCGTTTCCAATGTTTCTCTTCCACTTGGTTTGATTCTTCTGCCAACATAATGTTGCTTCTTCTTCTTGATCCCAATTATGGGCACATACGGTAACAGTAGGAATCCACGTAACGATGACATCATCAAGTGTACTCTCGTCGCTCTCTTCTAATTACACACTCTTTCGACTGGGGTCTTCTCATAATTAGCTTGATTGTTTATTTTATCGATAATTGGAATCTTTTTAGGTGGAAGACACACTCGGAACTTTGGAAGTTGGAAGTGAATGGATCTCAATTGGTAAGCTAATCAGAAACTGACTTAAATAGAAAGAGAGAGAGAGAGAGAGAGAGAGAAACTAGACAATCTGAAAATTTTGGACATAATTCCATCAACTCATTATTTCTAAAGCATATATAATTGGTATAAGGTAGTTTTGAAGCGGGAAAAATATTATGTTTTTCAGTCATATCTTTAATTTTTCCGGTTTCAAAAGCTCTATTTGAAATCCCATGCTTTTTCCATTTTGTTAATTTTTCTTCCTATTCAGCAGACACGTGTCAATCTTCCCCCTCCTTCTGGGAACATAGATACTATCAAATATTATATCTAACCAGTCCCATCTCTCCAAATACAATCGTCTCGTGTCAATACAGTAGTCCTATTGAGCAAACAGGAAGGAAGTGTTTGCTGTAATCTCCAACTGTGTTACTCCCTTTTTTTTGACACTGCATAACCATAATAATAACAGAAGAGAGCATCAGATGGGTGACCGTAACTGAGTGATGTAATAGTTGAGGTAACAGACATGTGTGAACAGTTGGAGGAATGAACAGGAAGAGATAAATATTAGCGGGTTGAGGTAAGGTGTGAGAAGGCAATTGTTTACTGTTTCAATATATGGTAAAGATTACTGTAGTGCCTAAAGTGATCGTCTGGCTGGAGGAATGACGATGAATAAAATATTGTTCTCTAATAGAAAAGGTTATAGTCCTAGCCTAAAACGTTTGTGAAAAATGGTCAGTGATCTTTCCGTTTCAATTTTACTATTTTGTCACTCATTTTTTGGAAATTTTAATATGCCATTTTTAAGACTGGTACGAAAAATCTAAGCTATGAAAGAGGAACACCGCTGGCCGTGGCCGAAGGTCTCAAAACGAGAACTAGCATAACCCAAAAATATGTCTATTTTCCGGTTTTATTTTGTCGATTTTCGTGCGTTCAGTCAATTTTTTGTTCAAAATTTATATTTTCCGACTAGAAAACTTGGTGAAAATCCGTTAAGAACGAAAAAAGGAAGCCTGAAAAAAATAGATTTAGGTTACTGTTGTTGTTGTAATTGGAGAAAGTTTGTGAATAATTCTCAGTGCTTAATAAATAGAAACGTTTCTGTTTCAAATGTATTTCTTAGACGAACATTTTTCAGAAGTTTTTAATAGACCGACCAAATATTACCTAATTTTTGTTTGATACTTTCTGGAAATTTCAGTTCGGTCTGACAAGTTGTAGCTACATTTTAACGTTACATTTTTTGAGTATCCAGAAAAGTTGAAAATCGGTAATTTGTACTATTTAGCTAGGAATAATTTTGCAGTTTCGCTACAACTATTTAAGTACCACCGACCCGGTTTTCCCAATGTACATGACATTCAACTGAGGAATTTTAAATTACCGTAAAATCTGTATTAATATTGCGCCTCTATTTGAATTGCCCCTCTAATAGACTTGCACCCCTTGAGGGCACTTGAAAAATAGACTTGCAGACTTTAATTGAATTGCCCCCGTAATACAATTGCATCTGCAGCAGTATTGCGGCTCCGCCGGGAGTACTGTACAATTTTTAGTCTGTGACACCGTGACGAACTATTGCACAGTTGTTTTTCGAATTTTTTTTTTAAACTACCTACCTATTTTCTGGTTTATTTTTATTTTTCTTGGACGAGAAATGGAAGAAATTCAGGAGATTTTGGGAGATATTGAAGTTGAGGAAGACGATGGAGAAGTGAACCATGCCGAAGAAGAAGACAATAACTATGACAGTGACGCCTCAAAATTTTAACCTCAAATTGTAGTTTGAAAATTAGAATTGCAGCCTCTATTTGAATTGCCCCTCTAATAGAGTTGCACCACTTGAGGCGACTTGAACAATAGACTTGCATGTAATATTAATACAGATTTTACGGTAAACTTATTTAGAACATTGACAAATGCTTCTAAACTATAAGTAAGTAATTCCCAGGAACCCACACTTACACTCAGGTGTCAAGTCGTCCGGTCAACCACGTGGCAACACGTGTTGCATCACCGTTCAAGGAGGTGACATTCTGAGAAACAAGAATCGTTTAAATTGGTTTCCTGAAACGATTCCCTGAAAATTCTTGTCCCCAAAGCTTGCGAGAAAACTCCTTATCCAGTCAAGTAGGGGTACCTGTAACTTAACACCTTCTCAAGTCGGCACCTACAAGCTGCTCATCAAGCCACTATTGTCTTTTGTTCCTTTTTGGCGGGATGCTTCGGATCAAAAAGATACCGCCCGGGCAGTGTTCTCAATGTGTAGTCAATATATGAATGATGATGATGACATACTTGACACGTAAAAGTGATACCAAACACGAGTACTTGTAACAAGAGTCTTCTGAGTAGCTCCGGAAGATGCTAATGTTTTTAATATTATCACTGTTTCGCTATGATTATTTTTAAACAACTTTACTTTAACATTTATTGCTTCCTTCCAATTAGCTCGTAAAGTTTTAAAAAAATCAGTTCACAATTAGTTCGTCGTTTAGAAACTTCGCCTGAAAACTCCGCGTTTTTCATTTTTTGACGCTTTTCTAGAGGTAGCCAAGAATCATAAGAAGTTGGAGACCAGGTCATCATGTGACGGTTTTTTTTCAAACTATCAGCAAAATATTGAAAAGTTGATTACTGTTTCAATGACAAGAATTATAATATCTCTGCTTTCTAGGATATTGATCTTCACAGGCTTTTTTCAAAAAAAAAAGTTCAATTTAAGATTTCCTCTTTCATACTGTATTCCTTCCTTCCCTCCAACCCCCGTGTGTCAATTGTCATCATCATGTTTATGCACTTATTAATCGAGAAGTAACAAGTGGATTAGAGATTAACGGCTTCCCGCATCGTCCTCCTCGTAACCTACAGTAATCCCCTGACTAGTACTTGACGTGTGTCTTCACTTGACAAGTGTGTTGAGTGGACCCGAAGAATAATAAGGACCAAAGTTTTGATGTTGGCCCAAGAGATTAGTTTTATTTCTTGTGATTTGAGTTTTTGAACTTATTCATTTGCAAAAAAAAACTATTGGGATTAAAACAACAGAGAATAATGTCAGAATATATTCATTAAATATTCGAGAAACGGGAAATTTTAGAAATCGATTTAGAAAGATTTCGGTTTGGTTGTTGCTCCAATAAGTTTTAAATTTAAAAGCCAGCACTTTGAAACAGTTATTGTTGTAAAAATTGTAATAGAATGCCCCACCCACACTGTCAAAAGTTTGAGATAAATTTTCCTGGCTCCTGTGAGAGATATCAAAAATATTTCAACTGAAAAAAACACTTCTGATATTATGACAAACGATTTATCACTTGACAACTTTTAATGATCTTTAAAAGGCATCAAGAAAAATTGCCTCAAAGTTAAAAATGCAAATTTTTAGAGATTTTGCTGAAAAGCGATATTACCACAGCTATTTCCTAACTTTCCTAAGGACAACTTTTTGAAACTGAACGTTTTTGAAATCCCATTCTTCGCAAGAATTCCATATTTTCCTTCTCTACCCTGATTCTCCTCTGATTCCCACATTAATAAATCCTCCCAATCACTGTGGTAACGTCAGGAAAACATTTTTCGAAAATCGATGTGACAAGTAGAAGTAGAAAAAGAGACAGAAAACGAGTCATCAAGGGACCCCAGGTCACCCTGTGCGCGCGAAACATTTGATATATTGATGAGTGAAGAAGGAGGGAAAAGTAACTAGAGAGATGTTGTACTTTTGAAATAAATCAGAATGTCAGTGATCGGACAACCCCAACGGGAAGCATTCAGACGAGGTGAAAAAACACATGGATGGGGATGGAAAGTGGATGACAACGAAAATTGATAGAATGGGAATGCAGAGCTTTTAAAGGTGGGGGGACAGGAGATTTTTCGTAGTTTTCTCTAAAAATGGCTCGATCTCTTTCCTTACTTTATATATTCGCACCTTATGGATATGACTTATTTCCGGTTTGAGCACCCAATTACTGATGAAAATCTACGGTTTTCTGGTACTAATCTGTAGGTGTGAGGTATGGTTGCCATGTGACACTTTTTTTCAGATTGTTCAGTTAGAAATCGTTAAAATTTGTCTTTTTTCGGTTGTAGATAAAGAAGAATTTTATATTGAGTTGATATGGAATCAATTATCGTGATCACCCACTATCTGAATTGTAGCTTGTCAGAAACAGTAAAAATATTTTCAATTCAAAAAATAGAGTTTGATCCACAAAAATTCGATAAAACCTGAACTTCTCAAATTCATTAATTAACAAACTTCTGATTTGAGTAACGAACAATTTGTGACAATATTTTAAGTGGCGTACTAATCCGATTAATATGGTCAATTGCCATATGTATTCAAATTTCACAATAAACCGGATAAAATAATGGTACAATTTAATTGCTCAAGGATATATTTCCATAATGAAACATAACTGTTTTCATTTTTTGGGTTCTCAAAATAAATGAACTAGTGGACACTAAAAGTCGATGAAACACAAATATAAACTTTGGTAGCTCATCAAGTTATCATGAAACCGTAAAACTTTAAAGTATCATCGACACTGAAAACATTCAAATTGAACATCAAATTCAACAACAGAAATTGAACAAAAGCGCATTTTGAATCACATAGTAGAGGTTTTCAGACTTATGACATTACTTTTAAACAGTAATTTTTTATATTCCAGTAGGATCTTCTAGATTTGCTTTCCTCAGTTTGCGTGGTGATGTTTAGCCAAGGCATTCAATTTTGACTTTACAGTATCCCTTCAAGACTTTCTACATACCGTAATCTTTTATTCTGTGTCAACATCGTCCCATCAAATTGCAGACAATAAATTCATCTTCTCCCCTTGAACTATGCT